TAAGTGCTGGGGTTTCGCACGATGGGGGGTTTTTAAGTGAAATGCTGGATTTTTCCAGTAAGGTGGTGGGGTCTTAAAAGGGTGCTGGGATCTCAGTAAGGTGCTGGGGTTTCTAGTAAGGTGCGGGTTCTCAGATGTTGGGGTTCTCGTAATGCTGGGGTTATCAGTAAGTTGCGGGGGTTCTAGTAAGAGATGGGTTCCAGAAAGGTGTGGGGTTCTGATAAGTGCTTGGGTTTCAGAAAGGTGCAGGGGTTTCACTAAGGGATGGGGGTTCTCAGTAAGGGCTGGGTTCTCAAAGATGGGGGGTTCTCAGAAAGTGGGGGGTTTCAGAAAGGGTCGGGGGGTTCCGAAAATTTGGGGGGTTTCAGTAAGATCGGGGTTCTCAGTGTGCTGGATTTCATTTAAGTGGGGGTTCTCAGTAAATACTGGGGTTTCAGTAAGTGGGGGGTTTAGACGATGTTTAATTCTCATACGTGCTGGTTTTCAGTAAAGTGGGGGGGTTTTCCGTAAAGGCTGGGGTTCTCAGTAAGAAGGGGGGTTCCGAAAATTTTGGGGGTTTTCTCAGTAAGTGGGGTTTCCAGTAAGATGCTGGGGTTCTTAGTGAGATACAGTGGTTTCAGAAAGGGTGCTGGGTTCTAAGTAAGATGCTGGGGTTTCAGATGCGGGAAATTTCCCAGTAAGATGCGGGGTTCTCGTAAGGTCGGCATTTCGAAAGAGCTGGGGTTCTCAGTACGATGCTGGGGTTCTCAGTCGATGCTGGGGTTTCAGTCGATCTGGGGTTCTCAGTAAGGTGCTGGGGTTCTCAGTAAGATGCTGGGGTTCTCAGTAAGACCCGGGGTTTCAGTACGATGCTGGGGTTCCGAAAGGTGGGGGGTTTCGTAAGGTGCTGGGGTTCCAGAAAGGTGTTGGGGTTTCAGAACGTGCAGGGTTGTAGAAAATTGGGGTTCTCAGTGATGCTGGAATTTCGACGATGGGGGGGTTACTTTTTGGGGTTTTAAAGTAAGAGCTGGGGCTCTCTTTACAGCTGGGCTTTTCAGAAATGTGGGGATTCTCGTAAGGTGTGGGTTCCAGTAAGGTTTGGGGTTCTCAGTAAGAGCTGGGGTTCCAGTAGGTGGGGGGTTTCAGAAAGTCGGGGGGTTTCCAGAAAGGGTGCGGGGTTTCAGTAAGGTGCTGGGGTTCTCGTAAGGTGCTCGGGTTCTCAGTAAGGTGCTCGGGGTTCTCAGAAAGGCGGGGGTTTTCCTTAGGTGCTGGGGTTCTAAAAAGGTGCTGGGGTAATCTTAAGGGTGGGGGGTTTTCAATAGTGCGGGGGATTTCAATAAGGTGTTGGGGTTTTCAGTAAGAGTGGGTTTTCAGTACGATGCTGGGGTTCTCAGAAAGGTGTGGGGTTTCTCATAAGGTGTGGGTTCTCTTAAGGGTTCTGGGTTTCTCAGAAAGGGTGCTGGGTTCCGAAAGGGCTGGGTTTCAGAAAGGGCTGTGGTTTATCAGTAAGATGGGGGTTCTCAAAAAGGCTGGGGTTCTAAATAAGAGGGGGGGTTTCAGTAAGGTGCTGTGGTTCTCGTAAGGTGCTGGAGTTCCAGCAAGGTGCGGGGTTCGAAGGTGCTGGGGTTCTCCAAAAGGTGCGGGGTTCTCAGTAATGTGCTGGGGATTCAGAAAGGTGCTGGGGTTTCAGAAAGGAGCTGGGGTCCATAGGTTCGGGGGTTCTCGTAAGGTGGGGGTTCTCAGAAGCTGCTGGGGTTCTCAGTAAGGTGTGGGGTTCTCAGTAACGTGCTGGGGTTTTCTCAGAAAGGGTGCGGGGGTTCTCGTAAGGTGGGGGTTTCAGTAAGGTGGGTTTCGTTAAGGTGGGGGGGTTCCCGTAAGGGTGGGGTTCTCAGTGGTGCTGAAGTTTCAGGAAAAAGCTGGGTTTCTAGTAAGGTGCTGGGGTTTCAGAAAGGGTGCTGGGGTTCTCAGTAGGTGCTGGGGTTCTCAGTAAGTGCGGGGGTTTTCCAAAAGTGCGGGGGCCCTTCATAAGGTGCTGGGGTTTCAAAAAAGGTGCTGGGGTTTCAGAAAGTGCTGGGGTTCTCAAAAAGTTGGGGTTTGAGGGGTGCGGGGGTTTTCAGTAAGGGTGGGGTTCTCAGAAAGGGGGCGGGGTTTCATAAGGCGCTTGAGTTCTCAGAAAGGTGCTCGGGTTCTCAGAAAGGTCTGGGTTATCAGTAAGGTGCTGGGGGTTCTCAGTAAGGTTGGGGTTTTTCAAAAGGTGCTGCGGTTCTCAGTAGGTGTGGGGTTTCAGTAGGCGGGGGTTCTCAGAAAGGGTGAGGGGTTTTTCCATAAGGTTTTGGGGGTTTTCTCGTAAGAGCTGGGGTTCTCAGTAAGGTGCGGGGTTTTTCTCAGTAAGGTGCTGGGGTTTCTCGAAGGTGCTGGGGTTCTCAGAAAGGTGCTGGGGTTCTCAGTAGGTGGGTTCTCAGTAAGGTGCTGGGGTTCTCATAAGGTGCGGGGTTTCAAAAGGTGCTGGGGTTTCAGTATGATGCTGGGGTTGAGTAAGGTGCGGGGGTTTCCAGTAAGGTGTGGGGTTTCAGAAAGATGCGGGGTTCTCAGAAAGGGCGGGGTTTCTCAGAAAGGTGCGGGGGGTTCTCAGTACGGTGTGGGGTTCTCGAAAGGGTGCTGGGGTTCTCGTAAGGTGCGGGGTTCTCATAAGTGCTGGGGTTCTCAAAAGGGGCGGGGGTTTCAGAAAGGTGCTGGGGTTTCATTAAGGTGCGGGGGTTTCAGTAAGGTGCGGGGGTTTTCTAAGGTGTGGGGTTCTGAGTAAGGTGCGGGGGTTTTCCGTAAGGTGCGGGGGTTTCTCTTAAGGTGTGCGGTTCTCAGCAAGGTCCTGGGTTCATAAGTGTGGGGTTCTCGTAAGGTGCTGAGGTTCTGAGCAAGGTGCTGGGGTTTCAGAAGGTGCGGGGGTTTGTCAGTAAGGTGCTGGGGTTTCAGTAAGGTGCTGAGGTTTCAGTAAGGTGCGGGGGTTTCAGGTGCGTGGTTTCAGTAAGGTGCGAGGTTCTCAGTAAGTGTGGGGTTTCTATTTAAGGTGCTGGGTTTCTCAAAAGGGCTGGGGTTCTCAGTAAGGTGTGGGGTTCTAAAAAAAGTGCGGGGGTTTCTCCAAAGTGCTGGGGGGTTTCAGTAAGGTGCGGGGGGTTTCAGTAAGGGCGGGGGGGTTTCTCAGTAAGATCTGGGGTTCTCGTAAGGTGCTGCGGTTCTCAGTAAGTTTGGGGGTTCCAGTAAGGTGCTGGGGTTCTCACTAAGGTGCTGGGGTTCTCAGTAAGGTGCTGGGGTTCTCAGTAAGGTGCTGGGGTTCTCAGTAAGATGCTGGGGTTCTCAGTAAGGTGCTGAGGTTCTCAGTAAGGTGCTGGGGTTCTCAGTAAGGTGCTGAGGTTCTCAGTAAGGTGCTGGGGTTCTCAGCAAGGTGCTGGGGTTCTCAGTAAGGTGCTGAAGTTCTCAGTAGGTGCTGGGGTTCCAGTAAGGTGCTGAGGTTCTCAGTAAGGTGCTGGGGTTCTCAGTAAGGTGCTGGGGTTCTCAGTAAGGTGATGAGGTTCTCAGTAAGGTGATGAGGTTCTCAGTAAGGTGCTGGGGTTCTCAGTAAGGTGATGAGGTTCTCAGTAAGGCGCTGAGGTTCTCAGTAAGGTGCTGGGGTTCTCAGTAAGGTGCTGAGGTTCTCAGTAAGGTGCTGGGGTTCTCAGTAAGGTGCTGGGGTTCTCAGTAAGGTGCTGAAGTTCTCAGTAAGGTGCTGGGGTTCTCAGTAAGGTGCTGAGGTTCTCAGTAAGGTGCTGGGGTTCTCAGTAAGGTGCTGGGGTTCTCAGTAAGGTGATGAGGTTCTCAGTAAGGTGATGAGGTTCTCAGTAAGGTTCTGGGGTTCTCAGTAAGGTGATGAGGTTCTCAGTAAGGTGCTGAGGTTCTCAGTAAGGTGCTGGGATTCTCAGTAAGGTGCTGGGGTTCTCAGTAAGGTGCTGAGGTTCTCAGTAAGGTGCTGGGGTTCTCAGTAAGGTGCTGGGGTTCTCAGTAAGGTGATGAGGTTTTCAGTAAGGTGATGAGGTTCTCAGTAAGGTGATGAGGTTCTCAGTAAGGTTGCTGGGGTTCTCAGTAAGGTGCGGGGGGTTCTCAGTAAGGTGCTGGGGTTCTCAGTAAGGTGCTGGGGTTCTCAGTAAGGTGCTGAGGTTCTCAGTAAGGTGCTGAGGTTCTCAGTAAGGTGCTGGGGTTCTCAGTAAGGTGCTGAAGTTCTCAGTAAGGTGCTGGGGTTCTCAGTAAGGTGCTGAGGTTCTCAGTAAGGTGCTGAGGTTCTCAGTAAGGTGCTGAGGTTCTCAGTAAGGTGCTGGGGTTCTCAGTAAGGTGCTGAAGTTCTCAGTAAGGTGCTGGGGTTCTCAGTAAGGTGCTGAGGTTCTCAGTAAGATGCTGGGGTTCTCAGTAAGGTGCTGAGGTTTTCAGTAAGGTGATGAGGTTCTCAGTAAGGTGCTGGGGTTCTCAGTAAGGTGCTGGGGTTCTCAGTAAGGTGCTGGGGTTCTCAGTAAGGTGCTGGGGTTCTCAGTAAGGTGCTGAAGTTCTCAGTAAGGTGCTGGGGTTCTCAGTAAGGTGCTGAGGTTCTCAGTAAGATGCTGGGGTTCTCAGTAAGGTGCTGAGGTTTTCAGTAAGGTGATGAGGTTCTCAGTAAGGTGCTGGGGTTCTCAGTAAGGTGCTGGGGTTCTCAGTAAGGTGCTGGGGTTCTCAGTAAGGTGCTGAAGTTCTCAGTAAGGTGCTGGGGTTCTCAGTAAGGTGCTGGGGTTCTCAGTAAGGTGCTGAGGTTCTCAGTAAGGTGCTGAGGTTCTCAGTAAGGTGCTGGGGTTCTCAGTAAGGTGCTGAGGTTCTCAGTAAGGTGCTGGGGTTCTCAGTAAGGTGCTGAGGTTCTCAGTAAGGTGCTGGGGTTCTCAGTAAGGTGCTGGGGTTCTCAGTAAGGTGCTGGGGTTCTCAGTAAGGTGCCGGGGTTCTTATTAAACATAAACAATAACAATACTTACCTTCCCCTCAGTGGATGGTTCTTGTATGTAGATGTTACTCATCTGTAGTAGACACTGGTTAAGTTATCACTGTTATTGTGTACTCAGCCTGGTCTAGTGTCGTGTACTCAGCCTGGTCTAGTGTTGTGTACTCAGCCTGGTCTACACTACTGTTGTGTACTCAGCCTGGTCTAGTGTTGTGTACTCAGCCTGGTCTAGTGTTGTGTACTCAGCCTGGTCTAGTGTTGTGTACTCAGCCTGGTCTACACTACTGTTGTGTACTCAGCCTGGTCTACACTACTGTTGTGTACTCAGCCTGGTCTACACTACTGTTGTGTACTCAGCCTGGTCTACACTACTGTTGTGTACTCAGCCTTGTCTACACTACTGTTGTGTACTCAGCCTGGTCTACACTACTGTTGTGTACTCAGCCTGGTCTACACTACTGTTGTGTACTCAGCCTGGTCTAGTGTTGTGTACTCAGCCTGATCTAGCGTTGTGTACACAGCCTCTTCTAGTGTTGTGTACTCAGCCTGGTCTACACTAGAGTTGTGCGCTCAGCCTGGTCTAGTGTTATGTACTCAGCCTGGTCAAGTGTTGTGTACTCAACCTGGTCTACACTAGAGTTGTGTACTCAGCCTGGTCTAGTGTTGTGTACTCAGCCTGATCTAGTGTTGTGTACTCAGCCTGGTCTAGTGTTGTGTACTCAGCCTGGTCTAGTGTTGTGTACTCAGCCTGGTCTAGTGTTGTGTACTCAGCCTGGTCTACACTAGAGTTGTGTGCTCAGCCTGGTCTAGTGTTGTGTACTCAGCCTGATCTAGTCTTGTGTACTCAGCCTGGTCTAGTGTTGTGTACTCAGCCTGGTCTAGTGTTGTGTACTCAGCCTGGTCTACACTAGAGTTGTGTGCTCAGCCTGATCTAGTGTTGTGTACTCAGCCTGATCTAGTGTTGTGTACTCAGCCTGATCTAGTGTTGTGTACTCAGCCTGGTCTAGTGTTGTGTACTCAGCCTGGTCTAGTATTGTGTACTCAGCCTGGTCTAGTGTTGTGTACTCAGCCTGGTCTAGTGTTGTGTACTCAGCCTGGTCTACACTAGCACTGTTGTGTCCTCACCCTGATCTACACAACTGTTGTGTAATCAGCCTGGACTACACTATTGTTGTGTACTCAGCCTCGTTTACACTAAGTTGATGTGTACTCAGCCTTGTCTACACTGGTGTTGTGTACTCAGCCTCGTCCACAATAGTGTTGTTGTATACTCTACCTGGTCTAAACCACTGTTGTGCACTTAACCTTGTCTACACAATTGTTCTGTACTCAGCCTAGTCTACACTAGTGTTATATAGTCAGCCTGGTCTACACTAGTGTTGTGTACTCAGCCTGGTCTACACTAGTTGTGTACTCAGCCTGGTCTAAACTAGTGTTGTGTACTCAGCCTGGTCTACACTAGTGTTGTGTACTCAGCCTGGTCTACACTAGTGTTATGTAGTCAGCCTGGTCTACACTAGTGTTGTGTACTCAGCCTGGTCTACACTAGTGTTATGTAGTCAGCCTGGTCTACACTACAGTGTTGTGTACTCAGCCTGGTCTACACTAGTGTTGTGTACTCAGCCTGGTCTACACTAGTGTTGTGTACTCAGCCTGGTCTACACTAGTGTTGTGTACTCAGCCTGGTCTACACTACAGTGTTATGTAGTCAGCCTGGTCTACACTAGTGTTGTGTACTCAGCCTGGTCTACACTAGTGTTATGTAGTCAGCCTGGTCTACACTACAGTGTTGTGTACTCAGCCTGGTCTACACTAGTGTTGTGTACTCAGCCTGGTCTACACTAGTGTTGTGTACTCAGCCTGGTCTACACTAGTGTTGTGTACTCAGCCTGGTCTACACTACAGTGTTATGTAGTCAGCCTGGTCTACACTACAGTGTTATGTAGTCAGCCTGGTCTACACTAGTGTTGTGTACTCAGCCTGGTCTACACTACAGTGTTATGTAGTCAGCCTGGTCTACACTAGTGTTGTGTACTCAGCCTGGTCTACACTACATGTTGTGTACTGAGCCCAGCCTGGTCTACACTAGTGTTGTGTACTCAACCTGGTCTACACTAGTGTTGTGTACTCAGCTCAGCCTGGTCTACACTAGTGTTGTGTACTCAACCTGGTCTACACTAGTGTTGTGTACTCAACTCAGCCTGATCTACACTAGTGTTGTGTACTCAACCTGGTCTACACTAGTGTTGTGTACTCAACCTGGTCTACACTACATGTTGTGTACTGAGCCCAGCCTGGTCTACACTAGTGTTGTGTACTCAACTCAGCCTGATCTACACTAGTGTTGTGTACTCAACCTGGTCTACACTAGTGTTGTGTACTCAGCTCAGCCTGGTCTACACTAGTGTTGTGTACTCAGCTCAGCCTGGTCTACACTAGTGTTGTGTACTCAACCTGGTCTACACTACATACAACACTACAGCAGCGGCTACAGTAGCTGCTCGACTGTTGTTGTTGCTGGGGTTGTTAAGGGCCACCAGGACCCGCCCCTTATTAAACTCTGCCTCATGGAAGTCCCAGAAAATTATGTATCCCAAATTTGGAAGGGAATAGGAAGGAAGTTTATTTAGGTACAAGTACATACACTTCCACTGATATGTCGTTAGTTATATATGGTGGGTCTTTGTCTGAGACTAGCACTGTCGTCTGCATACAACTGATGATTACACTTAACATTGATGGTCACGATTTAGATTTAGATTTTAGATTTTGCCACCGAAGTGGCTAGTAGCTAGTTTATTGTGCACCCCATATCCATCCTGTGGACGGTAGCGCGAGAGCATATGGATACACAAAAGGCCTAGGAACTAGGCCCCAAAGGGTTAACAGGAATACATATGGATTTATATCTATATATCTATAGTTCACTTATCTGTTACAAGCAAATTTAAGAAATTTGCTTAGTATATCTGGTATCTTATTTTCATTAATAAGATATCTTGACATGTCACACAGGTTATTATACTGTCTGTCTCTGTATTCCTCAATAAGTGGACAATTAAGCACATAGTGTTAAAGACAGTGACCATATGCCTGATCACATAATTTACATTTAGTTTAATCATCATCTGTGTGTCTGCCAAACTGCCAGAAGTACTTGTTACCAAGCCTAAGCCTGGCCACTACAATATCAGTCAGTCTGTTCACATTGCAAGTTGCTCCATAAACATACTTATCTACGTTCATGTTATCATAGTGGGTTATAGATCTACTCAGCCTTCTAACTGCATTCCTATAACAATCATTTTCATTATTTACTTCTCTCCTAATATTATTCCTGATGCTAGACACAGTTATCCCAAAGTTATATTCTACATTCTCCTTCTGGGTACTCTTCTTGGCTAACATATCAACTTTATCATGAAGGAGTAATCCAATGTGTGATGGGATCCATAGCAATTGTACATTAATTCCTTTGTCCCTAATTTTTGAGTATGTATACCTGGCTTCTCCAATGAGCATGTTGTTGGAGTCATTATATGAGTTACCTGGAGTTTACCTGGAGAGAGTTTCGGGGGTCAACGCCCCCGCGGCCCGGTCTGTGACCAGGCCTCCTGGTGGATCAGCGCCTGATCAACCAGGCTGTTGCTGCTGGCTGCACGCAAACCAACGTACGAGCCACAGCCCGGCTGATCAGGAACTGCCTTTAGGTGCTTGTCCAGTGCCAGCTTGAAGACTGCCAGGGGTCTGTTGGTAATCCCCCTTATGTGTGCTGGGAGGCAGTTGAACAGTCTCGGTCCCCTGACACTTATTGTATGGTCTCTTAACGTGCTAGTGACACCCCTGCTTTTCATTGGGGGGATGGTGCATCTTTCTGCCAAGTCTTTTGCTTTCGTAGTGAGTGATTTTCGTGTGCAAGTTCGGTACTAGTCCCTCTAGGATTTTCCAGGTGTATATAATCATGTACCCTCTCCCTCCTGCGTTCCAGGGAATACAGGTTTAGAAACCTCAAGCGCTCCAGTAATTGAGGTGTTTTATCTCCGTTATGCGCGCCATGAAAGTTCTCTGTACATTTTCTAGGTCGGCAATTTCACCTGCCTTGAAAGGTGCTGTTAGAGTGCAGCAATATTCCAGCCTAGTAGAACAAGTGACCTGAAGAGTGTCATCATGGGCTTGGCCTCCCTAGTTTTGAAGGTTCTCATTATCCATCCTGTCATTTTTCTAGCAGATGCGATTGATACAATGTTATGGTCCTTGAAGGTGAGATCCTCGACATAATCACTCCCAGGTCTTTGACGTTGGTGTTTCGCTCTATTTTGTGGCCCAGAATTTGTTTTGTACTCTGATGAAGATTTAATTTCCTCATGTTTACCATATCTGAGTAATTGAAATTTTCTCATCGTTGAACTTCATATTGTTTTCTGCAGCCCACTGAAAGATTTGGTTGATGTCCGCCTGGAGCCTTGCAGTGTCTGCAATGGAAGACACTGTCATGCAGATTCGGGTGTCATCTGCAAAGGAAGACACGGTGCTGTGGCTGACATCCTTGTCTATGTCGGATATGAGGATGAGGAACAAGATGGGAGCTAGTACTGTGCCTTGTGGAACAGAGCTTTTCACCGTAGCTGCCTCGGACTTTACTCTGTTGACGACTACTCTCTGTGTTCTGTTAGTGAGGAAATTATAGATCCATCGACCAACTTTTCCTGTTATTCCTTTTAGCGCGCATTTTGTGCGCTATTACGCCATGGTCACACTTGTCGAAGGCTTTTGCAAAGTCTGTATATATTACATCTGCATTCTTTTTGTCTTCTAGTGCATTTAGGACCTTGTCGTAGTGATCCAGTAGTTGAGACAGACAGGAGCGCCCTGTTCTAAACCCATGTTGCCCTGGGTTGTGTAACTGATGGGTTTCTAGATGGGTGGTGATCTTGCTTCTTAGGACCCTTTCAAAGATTTTTATGATATGGGATGTTAGTGCTATTGGTCTGTAGTTCTTTGCTGTTCCCTTTTACTGCCCCCTTTGTGGAGTGGGGCATTTTCTGTTGTTTTTAGTAACTGAGGGACGACCCCCGTGTCCATGCTCCCTCTCCATAGGATGGAAAAGGCTCGTGATAGGGGCTTCTTGCAGTTCTTGATGAACACAGAGTTCCATGAGTCTGGCCCTGGGGCAGAGTGCATGGGCATGTCATTTATCGCCTGTTCGAAGTCATTTGGCGTCAGGATAACATCGGATAGGCTTGTGTTAATCAAATTTTGTGGCTCTCTCATAAAAAATTCATTTTGATCTTCGACTCTCAGTCTGGTTAGCGGCTTGCTAAAAACTGAGTCATATTGGGACTTGAGTAGCTCACTCATTTCCTTGCTGTCATCTGTGTAGGACCCATCTTGTTTAAGTAGGGGCCCAATACTGGACGTTGTTCTCGATTTTGATTTGGCATAGGAGAAGAAATACTTTGGGTTTCTTTCGATTTCATTTATGGCTTTTAGTTCTTCCCCCGATTCCTGACTCCTAAAGGATTCTTTTAGCTTAAGTTCGATGCTTGCTATTTCTCTGACCAGTGTCTCCCTGCGCATTTCTGATATATTGACCTCTTTTAGCCGCTCTGTTATTCTTTTCCGTCGCCTGTAAAGGGAGCGCCTGTCTCTTTCTATTTTACATCTACTCCTCCTTTTTCTTAGAGGAATAAGCCTTGTGCATACATCGAGTGCCACCGAGTTAATCTGTTCTAGGCATAAGTTTGGGTCTGTGTTGCTTAGTATATCTTCCCCGCTTATATCGGTTAGGACTTGGTTTACTTGGTCCCCCTTTATGTTTTTGTTATTGAAGTTGAATTTGGTGAATGCTCCCTCGTGACTAGTCTCATTTTGTCGGTCTGGGGCTCCCCGCATACATGTCTGAACCTCAATTATGTTGTGATCTGAGTATATTGTTTTTGATATGGTGACATTTCTTATCAGATCATCATTGTTAGTGAAGATGAGGTCTAGTGTATTCTCCAGTCTAGTAGGCTCTATTATTTGCTGGTTTAAATTGAATTTTGTGCAGAGATTTAAAAGCTCGTGTGAGTGTGAGTTTTCATCAGAGCTGCCTCCTGGTGTTTTTACTGCAACAATATTATTTGCTATATTCCTCCATTTTAGGTGCCTTAAGTTGAAATCCCCCAGGAGCAAGATGTTGGGTGCAGGAGCTGGAAGATTTTCCAGACAGTGGTCAATTTTTAACAGCTGTTCCTGGAATTGCTGGGATGTTGCATCCGGAGGCTTGTAGACTACCCCAATGACTAGGTTTTGGTTCTCGACCTTTACTGCTAAAACTTCCACTACGTCATTTGAGGCATTAAGCAGTTCTGTGCAAACAAGTGACTCTGCAATGTACAGGCCAACCCCCCCTTTTGCCTGTTCACTCTGTCACATCTGTATAGGTTGTAACCTGGGATCCAAGTTATTTCGTTGTCCAGTGATCCTTTATGTGGGTCTCAGTGAAAGCCGCGAACATTGCCTTTGCCTCTGCAAGCAGTCCACGGATGAAAGGTATTTTGTTGTTTATTGCTGGCTTTAGACCCTGTATATTTGCAAAGAAGAATGTTATCGGACTGGTGGTATTGTTGGTACTGGGGGATGATTTTTTTTCCGGCATTAGTATCTGTATCTGTTGGTTTGGAGTGGAGGCCATCGACTGTGGTTCCATCCAGGAATGACTGGATTTGGTGTACGATTTCTGCCATTCCTGCCAGTTTTTTTTCCTTCCTGGCACTAAAAAACCTCTCCCTCTTGAGTGGCTGTGGCTACCCAGGTTTTCCCATGGCCTGGATGTTTTGTATCTTTTTGTCCCCTTTAGATGGTATGCCTGGCAATTTAAGTTATAGCACAGTCTTTCCTGTACTGAAGAGGTACACATTTCAGGGTGAAAAAGCTTACAGGAAGGGAGTTTGCATTTTCCTGTTGTCATATGGGCAAAGACATTTTCTACGGTGGTCATAGTTGCATGTCCATCTGTTTTTCCAGATTTCCCATGCCCGCAGATACCAAGTGCATAGTATGTGCACAGGCTTGGTTTCCGTTTGCCTTGGGTTTCTGTGACTGTATTCCCTGTTGGTGCATGTTTCCCTGTCTTATTCCTATCCTCCTTAGCACCAACAATGGAGCTCCCACCAGTTGTTTTTGGTAATTTATCCTCACTATTGCTATTTGAGTCCTCTTGTTTGCTATTTCCTGCGGTATTTTTTGGTTTGCAATATTGGTTTTATCTTATCTTTGACTACACTTGTTTCCCTACTATGGCTCCTGTCCTCTATGAGGTCATTTATATGTATTCCTTCCTGCGTATAATTCCCGACTACCTGGACAAAATCTCCAGCTTCACCATTACTGTCTACCAGGACAGTATCTCCAGCTTCACCATTTCTGTCTCCCAGGACAGCACCTCCAGCTTCACCATTACTGTCTCCCAGGACAGCACTATCAGCCCCACATTTACTGAACTACCAGGACATCACCTCCAGCCTTACAGTTTGTGACTACATGGCCAGTATCAAGGGCAGTACCATTCAGCCCGGACTTT